AATATAGGAGACGTCAAGTTGTCGACCAATAAAGCTTTTATAAAAGGAACAGCCTCAGTTGTGGACATTTCTATTACTTTAAAGTTTCTACATATGTTTCTCCTTGAGAGGATGGACAAATACTGATCTATTCGAAGCCTTGCCGGTACATGAAATAACGGTTAATATATCTGATATCGTTAATTTAGTCTACTCTGTCGGATTTACTACTACAGCAGTGTATTTATCGTATCTGCGACAGATTACTATGGCGGGGAAAAATTTGTATATACTACAGCGGTTCAAAATTTCCGAAGTCGTATATATGAAAGATGTACTACGGCGGGGAAAATTTTGTATATACTACAGCGGTTCAGAATTTCCGAAGTCGTATATACGACAGATGTACTATGGCGAGGAAAATTTTGTATATACTACAGCGGTTCAGAATTTCCGAAGTCGTATATACAACAATTATACTATGGCGGGGAAAATTTTGTTTCTACTACAGAGGTTCAGAATTCCCCGCCATCGAAACTGCGACAATTGCACTATGGCGGGGACATAAAGTATATACTATTGCGGTACAGTGTACCCCCCGCCATCGCGTTAACAACGGCGGAAAACCAACTCTGGCGAAGATTTAATGTTAGCTGGTGGTAAAAACCTGAAACTTTTGTGGTAAATAGTTGCAGAAAGGATAAAATAAGTAAAATTTTACAAATTAACATTTGAAAATTTGACATTCGAACAAGAGTAATAAAACAAAAACTGGCCTCGTCAGTAAAAGCAGTTTTTACCAACTCATCGTCCGGTAAATCTTTAAGTCGTTCACACATCTGGAACCTTTTTTCATGTCTCCAAGTTCTAGGTTAAGGTGTTGTGCCCTAATCAACCTTAAAAATTAACAGTTACAGCTAACAAAATAAGCTAACAAATAAATAAAGGTTATTTCGTTATTTAGAAATTTATTTTAATGAAAAAGAAAACTTTGGAAAAGATTTTTAAAGAAAAAAGTTAATTGTAAATTTTTATTATGCATTAAAAATGTTAATTGGACTGTTCTGTAAGTGTTATTCCAAGTGACATGAAAAGATGACAATGATCGATTCACAACGGCTATGGTATCCTTGAAGCATTTATCTGATCTATAATACAGTTTTCAGGTTTAAACGTGTTTAATTCTGATAATTGCTATATGTTTACCAGCAGTAAAAATGCGCAAGTCCCTTTTGTACAGATACCACAATTGATAATAATCAGTTTTCCAAATTATAAACATTGATATCTAATTCATATTTGATCAGACAAAGTTTTTAAGGGTACCCTTTAACTACTTTGTTTATTATGACACTTGTTCACAAGAACTTGTTTGAAAATACTAGAATAAAACTATTTCTGATCAAGCTCTTGAAAAATGTAGATAGATATATTACTAATTTTTTTTACGTTTTCCAACATTTTCTGGACACTACCCCACCCCCTCCCCCTCTCCAGGTTTTACATAGATTCAGACCCATTCTTTTTAGGGTTAACAAAGCTAATTAATAAATAGTATTTTATTTTGACATATAAGTTTTACCTGTAATAAGTAAAATTCAGGTCATTTCTTAAAATTCTGTTCCAGGTCGACTTGGAGAGGTTGAGTTTGTTTCTCCTACTGGTGTTTGATGGTCTATCATACTCAACCCTACAGTCCCTGGTCACCACATTCACCACCTGCCTCACCACCGCATCGGTCCTTTCTGTCCTCCTTGGTCCACTGTTACCCTTGTGAAGGTTTTCAACTGTAAATTTAGTTTCAAAATTATGCACAAGCCGGGATATTGTTCTTTCACTGGGCATTTTTTGACCAGGGAATTCCCTGGCAAAATTTCTCCTCACTCTTTCAACTCTATTCGGAAAATTAGTTAAAGTTTTAAACAGATTCTCAATAAAAACTTTTTCTCTGATAAGAAATCTTGTTTGTCTAGCTGCCATACTGGAAGTGAAGAAACTATGCTTTCAAATTTTGAGTATAGGTGTAAGTTATTGTGCTATGGAAACACCTCAACACGGAAACGTCTCAACAGGGAAATGCCTCAAAAAAAGCGGAAACCCCTCAACAAGTGGTTTTTTGAGGCGTTTCCACAATTTCTACAAGAAAAACGGAAATCCCTCAAAATCCAGTTTTTGAGGTGTTTCCTGTTTTTTTGAGGCGTTTTCTTTTTTTTGAGGCGTTTCTGTTTTTTAAAAAAACTTTAAAAACTTTCTTTTGTTGAGGTGTTTCCTCTTTTTTTCAGGCGTTTCCGTTTTTTGAAAAAACTTTTAAAACTTTATTTTGTTGAAGCGTTTCCTCTTTTTTTTGAAGAGAATCCTTTCCTGTAACTGATTCCTCGGAAATTCTCGAAAAATACTCCAGAATTGGTCCCTATATAATGGATTTTTGTGGGATCACAGTTTTGAGACTCAGTTTCGAGAAATTCCGAAGAAACCTTCAGGAATTTTTCCCCACAAAATTGCTTAGAATTTCTCCGGAATCCGGAAATTCCTGAGAAATTCTTGGGACTTGGTCACCATGTTTACGGATTTTTAGGGGAATTTATTATGAGAACAGAAATACGTCATAGTACGAGATTAAAAAAATTTTGCAAATTTTTGTTTGAGAAATTAAAATGAAATTTCATTTTTTTTTTAAAAGTAAAAGCTTCTAAATAATGTGTGGAAATGTCTCAACTTCATGTGTTGATTGAAAAGTCTTTATTGAAAAAACGGAAACGCCTCTAAACTGTTTGGAAAATTGTGTGGAAATGTCTCAATTTTATGTGTAGTTTTAAAAGCCTTTATTGAAAAAACAGAAACGAAATTTTCGGAAAAGTCTCCTCTATAATGAATTTAAGAAGTTATCTAAAAAGACAAACTCATCCAAAAATTTTGGAAATCCGTAAAGAAAAAGAGAAATCGTCTCTATACTAATTGAAGCTTTGACATTTTTTTTAAACAAAAACTTGTCAAAATAAAAAGAGTTAACACCTCAACTAAATGGAGTTTTTAAAAATTCGGAAAAACCTCAAATATTTTGCAGAAACGTCTCAAAAAAAATAGGAAAAACCTCAACTAAATGAAGTTTATAAAAATACGGAAACCACTCAACAATTTTGCGGAAACGCTTCATCCTAATGAAGTTTTAAAACATACGGAAACGCCTCAAAAAAAGGAAACACCTCAACTAAATGAAGTTTTAAAAGTTTTTTTCAAAAAATGGAAACGCCTCAAAAAAACGGAAACGCTTCAAAAAATTAGTACAATTATTACAAGTAACAAATACACTAAAATTTATGATTTCACCATTTATAATTAAAAGGGAGTGTCTGATGTAGTTGTAGTATTCTGCCACTTCTAAATGTGCAATGAGTTGGTATCTTAAAATTCACACTTTAATGAGATTTTGCTTCAAGTACTCTAACTTGTTTCATCTATCATTTGTGCAATCTGATGACATTGCAGATCGGGTTAGTCCTATCACTCGGGCCTAACTCCTCATGCGCCGTCTATATCTTTGCAACCTGGCATTACAATACTTCAGCTACCTCCATATATAGAGATAGCCTTATATGTCTGAATGCACTTGCAAATCTAAACACCCAAGTAATAAAGTCATTCTTACAACATAGATACGTTTATTAATACATTTAATAATACATTGATAAATGCATACATAAATCACATAAGAATAATAATAGCATAACATTAGCTTTAGATCCCTTGGTATTCTTAAGGTCTCCTAGCTCTATGTTTAAGCGCTATCTCAGTTAGGACACCGAGTCTAGCGTGTAAGACAGATATGACATGTAATCCATCTACTAGTCTTATATCTGTATTATTATAGGTTCCTTGGTCAACTCGTTCCTGTATGATCTGGAGCAAGTTCCATACTTGGTTCTCAAGCCGGTCCTTTAACCCTTTCCTGGTCGGGTTGGGGAACAGCCTGAACTCCTGCTCTATAGCCTTCCCTGTGTCCCATATATCAACTTTAGGGATATCAGTATGCTGTTGTGAGCTTGTGTCCCTGCTAAGGGACAATACACTCCTCAGCCCATCGTTCAACTTTGATAGGCTCTGGACTGCATCTTGGAGTACCTGTGTAGCATCCTCTTCAACATCCTCTGGAACATCCTCAGTCACATCCTCCTCCTCTGAAGCTGGGATAGTGATAATGGGAGGACCTGTACCCTTGCAGGGCGAGGACACCCAGTTACTTATCTCCTGATTCAACCCTTGTAATTCCTGGGTTACTTCTCTATCAAGTTCCTCCAGTTCCTCAAAGACATCCTGCATAGCTTGCATTGTCTTGGACAGATCCTCATCATCATGATCCTCATCTTTGTCCTCTACAACTTCCTCAGCTACGTCTTCATCCTCTGAGGCTGGAGCAGTGATGATCTGAGTGTTCCCACTTATGAGAGGGGCGGGGTCTACTGGATCAACTCCTCCATCTGGTTCCAGTTCCTCGATGTAGGCAGGGTTCCATGTTATGACTGGAACACGGTTCATCTTCTTATATCTCGTCTAGAAAGGTTCTCTCTGTATGCTGTCTGTGCACTGTATATAGCACAGGTCCCTGGATGGCTATGTGCAGGGAGACTTGTGTCTACTCTGCAGCAGTCCAGGATGTACTGATCTCTCTGGCGTCCTGCTGGATTCAAGGGACTGTTCACTCATATATCGAACAATCCAGAATACAACATAGTCCACTTAAGAAAATTACATAAATAATTTACTAACACTTGTAATGTGGAAGTGTGTACCATGATTAGTTTACACGGTGAAAAAAATATCAAAATTGTTCAAGGGGGAAACAATCTTTACAATTGGGGGCACAGCATTTTTTTTTTGGCGCACAGATGCCCAATATTTGCTGCCCCCCCCCCCCCCCNNNNTACACAAATATTCTCGTTTGCAGAGGTTCGCTTTCATAAATTATGATATGAATCAAAAACTCTAAACCAAAACTTTTTATTCTTTTAGGGAATAAACTAGATTTTTTTAGATAAAATTATCTTTTCTGGTCTAAAATATAAACTGAAACTTAACATACACTCTTTACATACAGACTATATTAGAATAATATAGACATTTGGAAAAATCTGTACATTTTAAAAACAATTTACAGTTGGTCAAAGATAGATCCAAATAAGTTAAAAAACATTATTTAAGAGTCCAAGACCAAGAAGGGTGTTGTTCACTTTCTCCATTAGTTCTGTCTTCCATCTCCAAAGTGTAACATCCTTCACTGTTGGAACGTTCTTCTTACAGAACCCAGGAAACTTCCAAGGACACGAAGATCTAAGAAGTTTAATTTTAATACATTTACACTAACATATCAAATCCTACTTGTGTGGGCTGCAAAATACTGATCTGAAGATCAGAGGTCCTAATTAAAACAATTAAAAAAAAACAAGACTGATGAACAAGAGAGAGGGGGGCCATGCGGCCATAATCCTTGCAATATCTTGCTCGAACCCAGGTAGTTAGCAGAACACTGTTTCAACCCTGCAAAACCATGTTTGATCCCCGCAGAATCAGGCGTGTAGTGGAGGTTTGGTCTAGGGGGGTGCACTTTTGGGGCCAACATTTTTTTTGTGCACCCCCCTAACGGTTGATGTGCACCCCTCTGAAAAACCTGTATAAAGAAAAAATAAAGTTTAAAATCTAATTTAATCTACCTGAAGGCTGACTATTAGTCATCTGACGATAATTACAAATCATTTAAAATGAAACCCGGAGAAAAAATATTGTTTATAAGATTAAGGTACCTGAAAGAATTAGAGAAATAATCATAAAATGGACAAATTGTGACATTGTAGATTGATAAAAAAAAAGAAAAATCTGAATATATATGTAAGTTTACTGTTTAATAAATTAGAGCCTGCCTCTGGCTCTAGGGGGGGGGGAAATGGAGGGGAAGAACGAAGAAGTGAGGGGGGGATGAAAGAAGTCAGGAGACGGGAGGAAAGTAAAAGGAAGGGAGAGTAAAGCAGAAGGGAGGGGGAAGAAAGAAGAATGGAGGTGGAAAGAAAGAAAGAAGAAGGGAGAGAAAGGAAAGGATATTGGAGGGGAAGGAAAGAGAAAGGGAACCGGTTTCTTAATAAACTACCTTGCACAACACACATATTTAAACAAACATTTTTTTTATAATAACTGTTAAGAATTTAATTTTGAACATAAACAATACAGTTAAAAAAACTTTAGATATGACTTTGATTAACAAAATTAATGATTTCATATATGACTAAATTCAAAGTGAACAAAACAATTTTAGAAAAAACATGAATATCATAATTGTATACTTTATACTGCATTTTTGATGAATTGTGACATTAGTTGCAATATACATTTGCAAGATTAAATTATCACCTCTTCATCACTTTGAACATCTAAGTTAAAGTTATTGCTAGACAAAATTTTACACTGAAAAAGAGTTTTAAGCATTGATTTTTATCCCAAACCTAAAAGGAGTACATAACCTATTCCCGCACGTTTACATTTTTTATTCATTTTTATTTTTTAGAATCAATTTTCAAGGGGGGAGGCTCCTTTTTTGAGACACAAATTTATGATAATTCATACATTTTTTGAAAGCCCATGGCCTTAACTTTAATAATCTGCAAAAACTTGCAAAATTAATAAAATCCAAACATTTATTGCAAGATCCAGCTATTAAGTAAAAAATATGAATAAATAATAATTCTGATAACCCCTTGACACAACAAATTTGAAAATTATTACAAAATTTTCTAAATCCTGATGTTTATTTAAGTATGTTAAAATCTAGAAGAAGAAATTGGATTTTGAACCCCTCACACCATTCACAGTGCACCATACGATTGTCAAAGCCAAGGAATATTGAAATTTCTCTTTTAAATATTTAACTTTAAAAATACCTTGAAAGAAAAAGTGTAGTCTTTGGTTAATTTTTAACACCCAGTTTTTCTTTGAATTTCAAAAGATATCAAGGTGATAATGTCAAAAAATTATTTTACCTGTAGTGGTTCAATTGTCCAATTTCAAGACCAACTGAATACCGTTGACATTTAAAATGCTTCAGGCATTTTATAGAATAATGGTTAGCTGAAACAAGTGTCTAAAAATAATAATAAACACATAATATATCATTTGTCAGATATATCAAGAAATTTATAAAACCCCGTAAGTATTAACCCCTCTTGATATTGACTTGCTTTTAGTTTTCAAAGAACCCAAATATGAATGTAAATATTAGTTTTATGTAAAAAATCCATAAATTTTTTTTAACAAAATCACATACATGTAGGGAGTTCTGAAATGATTTAGGGTTCTGATTGGGTCCTAGATGATCTCGAGCTCTGGAAATAGCAATTGCAGGTTTTCATTTTATGCAGATATTTAATATCTATTATTTCAAAATTTCTTTCAAATTTTGAAATTTAAAGAAAATTCGAACAGCAAAAGTATTGAATACAGATAATTTTAACTGTTTTTATAAATGTTGTTTAACCCTATTCCTGCTGGGGGGGGGGGTAATTTGACCCCCCCTGTAGTCTTTTTACTTAACTCAAAAAGTATTGGTCTGAGGCTGTTGAAATTTTCTGACTTTTCATACATACCCAAAGCCCTCCCTTTAGGCCTAAAACAAGGCTTTAATACTAACTGCCTGAGTTCTCAGGCACACTGCCTGAATGACAGCTTTTTCCTGTAACAAACTAAATCTTTGTTTTGACCCACTTCCACTTGTCAGATTTGATAAAAAATAGTACGAGATTAAAAAAATTTTGCAAATTTTTTTGCAGATTCCAAAAGTAGAGCACAAGAGCTTTCCAATGATGTATTATTTGTCATATTTTGACATCAAACATGGGATTTAGAGAGGGGGGGGGGTCAAATTGACCACCCCCCAGCATATCCTGGTTTTCAAGTACCCCAGCAGAGATAGGGTTAAAACGTTGGTTCTTTAATCATTATGGGGGGAGAGGGTGCAGGGCTGGATTGTATATAACACCGTTTTCTTAAGCAGAAATTTTATTTTCAAATTTATTAAAAATGTTAATGAAGGCTTTGAGAGCTAGATTTTGAACCTTTTTTTGAGACCTTTCTAAATTTCAGTTCAAAAAATAAAATTTAAACCTTTCCTTTATTAAATGTGACAGTAGTGAGGTTTTTAATCCAAAATGAGAAAATATAATTTACACCTTGAACAAATTGTAATGGTTTGTGAACAAACAATACAGAACAAGTTTGTGAACAAATGGTGTAAAAATCTCTAAGAATACCTCAAAATGCCCTAAAACAGCTCATGATGGACAAGTAATGTCAAACAAGAATAACAGATCAAAGATTGCTCCATTACATCAATTAGCACAACATTACTAGCTGTTCTTAATTGACACTACATCTATTTTAAGGATACTTTAAGCATAATCAAAAGGGGGCAATCATCCTACATAGCAATACAATTTTATCATTTAAACAGCAGGGTATTTCATGACTTTACATTACAATATACAGTAAGTATACATGTAATAAAGTCTAGTCCTGAGATTACGCTACTCAGAGTCTTATTTATCCTCACTAACTCTATCTCTGGCCATTACTCAAGGCTCTCAACTCTAGCCAAAACTCAAGGCTCTATATTCGTCCGTATAATAGGAAAGTTCATGTAGTACTAAATTTATTTATATACAGGTGAATCAAACTGACCAGATCGGCCGGTTAGAGCAACATTGAAGTAGATAAGACATATAATGATAACATAGATAATAAAGATCATGATAAGCATTACAACAGAAAATGCTACAAATCCCCAGGGGGAAAATGTCGAGAGTTATCGTTCAATTTGATTTTAACAATACTCTGACATATTAGGCCTCCATGTAGCTGTAGATGTAGATGTAGTGATAGATATAGATGGAAAGATGGATTTGGCTCAGCCCCGGGTCTAACCTTGAACTACCCTGGGTCTAAAACAGCAACATTGGTGATATCAACGGGTCGATGAGCAACATCGTAATCTATAATCCCTAAACATGTGATTATAAGATGGAATGTCAGGAAAACAGACCTGTAAACATGTTGCAATATGTGATTATTAGATGGAATGTCAGGAAAACAGACCTGTAAACATGTTGCAACATGTGATTATAAGATGGAATGTCAGGATAAGGTCCTTCATTGTTGGCTTCTTTGTACTGTTGTAGAAAATAACCATTTTGGAATGAGAGGTTTTCTATATTTTCTATTGAAACATTTCTCTAAAATATTGTAAGTGCTTTATTTCTGTAAAAAGTTAATTTTCTCGAATCTAACATTTAAAAAAAAGAATTGTATATTTATCTTGCTGTGTATACACAGATGCATAAGAATAACTGTCTTTATACATTGATTCTTACAAACCCTTAAAATGAAATAAAATGTCATTCCACCATGTAAAGGTATGTAAGAATGTTTCAATTTGGGTTATTAAAAGGAAAATTGGCATATGTTAAACAAAAAAAAAGAAGTTGAGTAAACAATAAAAATGTTTAAAATACATTATTAAAGGGTAAGCATGCTTCCTCCTACACTTTTAAATGTTAAAATGTATCTATGTCAAATATGTCAAATAGCATACAAAAGGTGTTTATAAGAATAATTATAACGTAACTAGCATGATAATTTTAAATCTCTAATGCTCCTGCTTCACAGAATGAACAACAAAGAAAGATATCATTCCATAGTGTAAGAATATTTATTTCTATCTCTATTTCTACTAAGGGGAGGGGGGGGGGGTTGAGGTTGGTTTCCTGGGATCCACTCCAGTCTCCATATCGATATTGAACCAAAAGTATTGGTCTAAGGCTGTTTAAATAAAAGCCTCACACTTTAAGTGGAAACACAACAATATTTGATTTAAACTGTACCCCTTAAAGCTTTCTTTATTAAAGTATGAATAAGAGCTGCATGTTTTTATGTTTGAAAACTGTTTTTTTATGGTCACAATGAAAAAGTGACTTTTACATTTCTTGCTTTTGAGAAATATTAGAGACTTAACCACTTCATGAGTCAGAAACGACAATATCTTCCACATTTCTGATCAGATTTAGGTATCAAGGGTACCATGGTAAATCAGGCATTGTCATCTTTGCATCAAGACCCAAAAAGTATGTGTGATTTGGAAAGGTAAAATCAAAGCCAAAGGCATTTCAGAGTTCACATAATCTTAAAATCTTTTTCATAATTTTCAGAGTTGTCTTGGTATCTGTGTCTTGTATCACAATAGGAAAATAGAGGGCATTTTGGGCAGATGAGAAGACGTCTGTATGAATAGGGTTACATGCTAGGAAGCTAATAATTATGATTATTGTATTCCAGGAATTGTAACACCATTCAATTGTTACTATACAATACTGAATAGGCACAATTGATAATATATCTTACTTTTTGAAGCTCATCTAGAATATCCAACCAAGTTCTGTTTTGTGTTGGTACAACAACTTCATCAATATCCATAACAGCAAAATATTTATACCTTTCACCAAAATAAGGAAATTATTAAATTTTATTATTAATGTAACTAGGGTTGTTAATCGTTTTTGTAAACGATCGTTAAACAATCGTTAAACAATCATTTTTCGATTTGTTTTCAAAAATGATCATTTTTAAAAACAACACACTCCTTTCAAACTTTTATAGAAAACAAATAACGATCTTTTTGAAAACGATCGTTTTTATTGAGTTACGACCATTTTTTATACGATTGTTTTTTGAAAAACAATCGTTATCAACAATTCTTAACGAAAGGTCATCATTAACAATCGTTAATGAAGGGTTGTCGTTAACGATCATTGGCGAAATGACGAACTTTATAAAAACGGGCGTTTATGGAAAAAAATTACATGCAACCTTATTGAATGTGGGGGATTTAAAACTTCTTGATATTTTCTTAAAAATTACTCAATGATAAGTCTAGCCAAAGGAGGAATCTAGTCAAAGGAAATATCTGGCCAAATGAGGTAGCCAGCCAAAGGAGAAACACATCACTGAGAACACGAAAACAAACCTGTGACTCAGGATGAATTGTAGTAGCAGTATATTTACATTACTTTATTTATTTTATTTTTTTTTATTTTTTTGGTTTAACCTTTATACTAAAAGTTAATTCCCAACTGAATCTAGCTGCTAAAAAATATCCTAAAGAATTTATAACTTTTGTCGTAAATTGCTTTAGGGTTACAATTGGAACCAGGACAATGTCTCAGATCTCTACAGGAATAAAATGAAGAATTGTTCCAGCTAAGGATTAAAATTGTTAAAGATTGGATTCAATCTTTTACAGATTGCCCAATTAATTTATTTATAATTATAAAATACAATAAGCAGAGAGGAAAAATATATACAAAATTATATCAAGAAAATAAAATCTTCTTGAATAACTCGAAAAAATGTGATAAATTCTTGCATGGATAAATTCGACTTAAATCAATTAAAGAAAACAAGGAACCAAACTCAAATCATATATGAAAATAACGTAGTAATGTCTAATTAGTACCTTAATGTGTTGTATACAGATCACAACGAAAAATACTTCTGTCAATATATCAAGTTTAACTGAAGATAAATAGCGGATAAAGTATAAATGTAAGGTGAAGTTTACAAATCAAAACTAGTTTTATTGCTGCAGTACGGACTTGTTCCCCTCCTCAGAGGTTTCACATTGTTTGCATGAAGAACTCATGGGCAAGGGAGTTCAGAATGTGACAGTTCATTACATAACACTGCCCCAACCTGCTCAAGGGCATGGCGGAGATCAGCGTGATGAAGATTAGCTTCATCTCCTTGTAGAACTCCAAGATCAGATTGCATGAGCTAAAATTTCAAATTATAGCAGCTCAAAAGTTGCAGTCTCTTCAAATAAAAAAACCAGGGTTCAAGATCATGATAATCATTGTTCAGAGTTTAGCAGAGAAAATCACTTAACATCAGGAGACTCATCAAGAGTTCTCCTTAACCATTAACAGGTTTAAGATCACTATTAGAGCTGAACCCTTAACAGGCTTAACATTACCAGAAAAGCTAATCAACTTCTACCTCCAGAGGAATCCCGAACCTGAAATCCAGCTCCTCTGGGAAGGGAGCAGCCTTAGGACCCTCTATCATCTCATCATAGGTCAGAACACTTCCTACTTCAAGATCTCTGGTACTCCCTGCACACCACAGAACTAGTATACTAGAGAGAGGCTCATCAGGCTTCTCCTGGTTAAACATCTTGATCTTTTTTTTCTATTTTCCTCGTTAGGTAACTTTAAAACCATTGGGTTAAACAGACATCTTCTTAAGCACATGCTCATCCTTCTCACTCTTGACCCAGTCCTCAGTCTTCAGGAATACGATACTGTTGTAATTCTGTACAATAAAACTTGTGTCTGCTGGCTACATCAGAGATACCATTCAAACGTGTTTAAAATAGAACCAAAAAATTAGCTCAAATCAATCATTTTTAAAAAGACGAGTATGGAGACCTTTTCTACTTTCAAAAGCCTCCCCATCTCCATGTTATTGAATCTTTAGTTCCCATCATTAAAAACTAATCAGACATGAATGGTAATCTGCTAGATCTCAACCATTTATCTGGACACAAGTTTAGAAGGTGGTCATTGTTTATAAAAGTTTGATACCAGCAATGATGAGTGTTTCTGTCTTTCCAGATCGGGAAATATCCTCATACTAGGAAATTTCCTTAAACCAGGAAATCTGCTCTAAAAACTCTTCAGACCAGGAATTTCTTTAGACCAGAGAATCTCCTCACACTAGAAAACTTCCTCACACCAGGAAATCTGCTCAGACCAGGAAATCTCCCTAGACCAGGAAACTCCCACAAGCTAGGAAATCCACTCGGAAATCTCTTCAGATCAGGAAAAATGCTTGGAAATCTTTTCAAATCAGGACATCTCCTCAGACCAGAAAAGTTTCCTCAAAGCAGGAAACCTCCTCAAACCAGGAAATCTGCTCAGACCAGGACATTTCTTTAAACCAGGAAGTCTGCTCAAAAATCTCTTCAGATCAGGTAATCTCTTCAGACCAGGAAATTTTATCAAAACAAGAGACTCATCAGACCAATAGATCTATCAAACCAGGGAATCCCATCAAACCAGGAGATCTCATGAGACCAGAAGATCTCTTCAGACCAGGTGATCTCATGAAACCAGGAAATCTCATCAGACCAGGAGATCTCATGAAACCTGGAGATCTCATCAGACCAGGAGACCTCATCAAACCAGGATATCTTGTGAATCCAGGAGATTGCATCAGTCCACGATTTCTCGTGAACCCAGGAGATCTCATCAAACCAGGGTATTGAACCAGCCTTTATCTCAGCATGAGCCATTATCTTAGTATCAGTTATCAGCGCAGCGGCAGCTAGTGTCTTAGTATCAGCCACTATCTCGGCATCAGCCATCACCTTGGTATCAAACATTATCTCAGTATCAGTTATCATCTTAGCATCAGCCAGCTCCTGGGAACAGGACAATTTCTCGGAACAGTACACCTTCAGGGAACAGAATAACTCCTGGGAACTGGACAACTCCTTAAAATGAGGAAACTTGGAAGAAGGAGATTTATGAACATTTGAAAACTCCTGAGATACTAATACCATCCTTGTTAAGCACACTTGTCCACAGCCAGTAACTGAATTGGTGTCCAGACTGGTGTTCTTGGGCTTGATTTCCATACTCCACACATACCTGTGCTTTGAAAACATCTGAAGCTGACATCTGGTGAAGCAGTTATGACCACCTGACGGATGTAGGAGGACAGAGGGTCGGCTGTCAACAATTCTTGCAGCGAAAGGGTGCATGCTTTCTACTCAACGGGCAGAAGCTTTATGTGGAGTGATCTAAATGAATGATGATGAAGAGAGGAAAGATGGACGAGCAGGGAGAGTCTCTGGCCAGCTATAGGTACCAGAAGAATTCCTGCACTCCATTATTCTCAGGAAGCTGGAAGCTTGTCAACCCTCTTCTCAGATTGAATGACGGGTGGATGGATGAATGTGCTGCCAGATTACAACCCCTGGTAGGTCTATATAAACCCAAACAACACCAAACGTTGGCAATAAGACAATTCCGAGATTTGATCATATCAACCCGATCATGTCCTGGGGATAAAAACTATCTTTTTTATATTTAAATTAAAATTTCCAATAATTTTACCTGTACATATTAGTATATAAGCAGTCATTATGTGGCACCAGTTCACTATGTAGCACATTATCCTTTAAACCAAGATGATCAGTCTCATTAGGCATATACACTAGAAATTAAAATGAGTTAATTATTGGCATTCTAAAATAACTTAAATTTTAAACTGGCTTGGGAACATAATTCTTTTAATAAATGTCAACCTACTCAACTGAAATCAACCTCGAGAGTCCTAATCTGAAAAACATTTTGTAACATTTTGCGCATAGCATTTTCCAGTTAACAGTTAAAAAATAAGGAAAAATTTCCAATAAACTGTTTTTGACATATCTCGTTAAACCTAAGCATGTTGGGGGGAGGGGTAGGCGTTTGGCGCCCTCCCCCTGTAGTTTTTTTTGTCCTAGCACTCTCATTTTTGACACTATCACTGTGAAATTTTTTTACTTTTAATGAATATTACTATTCATTAAAAGTAAAAAAATGAGAAGGAGTTTTGTTAAGACATTTTTTTCTTAATTTATAGGGTAGGGTACAGGGCGGAAAAAAGTCTGGCCTGTGAAAAAAAAAATCTAAAATAGCCCATAACTTTTTTGTGACTAAAGCTACAGATCTAATAACTATATTTTTTAAAGGCCCTTGAAAAATGCATGTAGAAACATGTATCAAAATGATATTTGTTTTTAAAAAAAAATTTGTTCTCACTTTTTTGACCCTTTATAGGCATTTTTCCCTCCCTTGCACCCAAACTATTAAAGTTATCGGTCTAATTTTTTTTCTATGAGCAGGCCTTGAAAAATTGTGCAATGAAAATGCATTTCAACCCTATATCTATTCTCTAAGGTCTTTTCCAGGGGAGGGCGTCAGGCGCCCCCCCCCTGGATTCAGATTCAGATTCAGACCCCCCAGCCTGTATAAGGGTAATTCAAATAGACTTTCAGGTCTTAAGCTATACAAGCAAAATCAATGAGAATTTTGCAATTACTTCTTGAAAACCAAAGCCAACAACAAGTGCTATATAGTGATAAAATGTTCATGTAAAATGTACAGAAAAGCATAAGTGAGTTGGAGCGGTAAAATACAATCCCAAGGCCTTGTGACACTTCAAAGTCGACCCTGTCTTAATAATTGATGAGACTTTTTATAAGCATGCAGGCTGAATATATATGTTAATTTGAATTTAAAATTAAATTGTTGAGGTCTTCAAGATCCTCATATAAAAAAATCAACAAAAAAACACTTTTTTGGTCTTTTACTTATTTTTGATATAAGTCAAATTTTTGAAAAAATAAAACCAGCTTATAAAACAAGTTTTGGCGTTTGCAACACTTTGAGCCTGATCAAATTAATTTAAAAAATCAATTAAATTTATTTTCCAATACTTGCAAGCCCAACTAAAAAATATTCACCGTTTAGTGGGGTTTGGGAGGAAAATTAATTATTTTTAAAACTAAATTTTACTTTTAATAAAAACCAAATTTCAATCTCTTCCGGGAGCTAAGATTAGCATTTAGTTCATTCTTTTTATAAAAAAAAAAACAATATTTTACAGAAGCTAATGTTGTATTCTTTTCAGCCTTTATTGCGTGATTAAAGCATGTTTTAATAACTATTATTGTGCTTTCATATTGAATTAATTAATCTTTGAAGTATTTTATCTTACTTAGATCTATCTTACTTAGGACCTTAAATTATATTTATAATTATAGACCTGGTGGAGAAAAATGAGTAAGCTTCACAAATCCAGATTTTTCATAGAACTTCAAAGTCTAAAATATTTAAAAGAAATGAAATGTTTACAGGGTGTTGGAAAATAAGAAAATAAAATAAATAAATAATTCTAAATTGATAAAGAAAAGTCTGCTTTCAGGTTTAATCATTTTGAACTTAATGAGCCCCCAATTCTTTGATAAAGTTAAAATCTCTAAAAGCCTGAAGTAAATTATTTTCATTAAAAGTTAGTTAAATTATCTTTACTCCCAATCCTAAACAGTTGGTTGTAACTAGAGATGGGCATCCTATTTCTGAACAAACAAACATTTTGATAAGGGTCAAATTTTTTCATGAAAAATGGTGTCCATCAGAATAAAATGAATGATGGACAAACGACTTGGATTGTCCACAGAGATGAAAAAATCATAGTTTTTTAAACACAAACCAAAAAGACAAAAACAAAGTATTTTATTGATCGGACGATTTTTCTGAACAAGTGCTTTTACTGAACAAACGATTTTACCAAACAATTGGTCAGTGTGAAAACAAGCAAAATTAATAAAGAATGAAAGATAATTTATAGAACATATTTATCAATATTTTGAAAAAACAAACAAAATTGGTTGTTTATGAATGATGAACAAATAAAATAAATAGAGTCAAAATTATCTCTTGTTGTAACAAGCAACATTAGGTAATTTAGAAGCAGAAGAGAGAAACTATTATTGGCAATTTATTTTTTCATAAAAGATTAAAACGGTATTGTAATGCATGTTTTTACCAGAATTGTTAGATCTTTCACACTCGTGCTCGTGCCCCCCCCCCCCCCTCAAAAAGGCAAAGCATTACAAGTGGGAAACAGCATTACCAACATCTAACTTTTTAAATAATTAATTGAGCACTGTTTTCTAATTCCATCTGAAAATTTCAATTCTCACTGACAAATAATTTGTTCACTTACTTTGAAAGTGTTAGGATGCAACTCTGTTTCGTACATAAAAACCTAAATAAAAAAAATAATTAAAAAAAATAATTAAAAATAATTCCATGCGATCAATGTCTCCTATTTTGCTCGACATGTGATGATTTGACCATACTTTGTGCAGAATATATTGATGGGGAAAATGCAATATTTTTAATTTTTGACCACTTTATTGTCTTTATTGTCATGTTCGGAAATTCAAGAATTTTAACGTTTACAAAGAGACAGTTATTCTAGCAGGAAAATGATGTGATAATGTTCAAAACATGTAAATAGTTAAAAGGGGAGGGTTAAGGGTTAAGAAGGAAACATTTTTTATGGTGTATTCTAAATTTAAAATGAAGCCATGCCATGAAAACCTGTTATAGATACCGAGAGGCTGAGATAAGCAACCCTAAGCTAGGCTTGTAGCTTGGGTTGAATGGCCAAATAGGGTGGACAGGATTCGCCATGTTTGCAGAGTTCCCCAGGCTGGCTAGTTCTGCATTGTTTTTGTAATAAATGTTATGTAGAAAATTTGGAATTGAAGGTAATGACCTTCATTTTGACCTCCAAAAACGCAAATCATTGTTTTTTGGTTTTCTGAATCTAGTAATGGGTCTATTTTTTATCTGGGTGATACAAATGCTTTTGATCTCCAAATATTTTTTACCTCTGGAGGTTAAAAATTATTATTTCTGAAAATGGGTCATGTTGGGTATCAAATTATTGATTATTTACTCATTTAACTCTTAACAGTTGATCAATCATGTGAGGGAGGGATGGGGACCAATTTGAAATCCTCAAATCTGCTAAATAGAAAGTGCTTGTAAAAGGTTACAGGGTCTCAGATTGAAATCTATGATTTAGTACCTCTCATGACTTAATTTTATTGATTTTATATTTTTGACCTCTGGACTTAATTGATATTTAGGTCAGCACCCTTTAGAATCCTCTGTGGTGAAAAAGCGACCTATTATTTAAAATTCGGTGATGGTGATGGACCAAACCTCTGTAGAGTAACAAAGTAGATGTTACATCCACATTTCTTGAAAATATATTTCAATCTGGGTTGACCCTTGTCAGTTCTAATGATATAATAACCATCAAAATCAATAAAAAAATAAAAAATGTAACAAATCACAGAAGATAAACAAACAAAAAAGATTATACAAAACAAAAATGTGGGCTGTCAAGTGGACATAAGGAAAACGAACTCAGATTATGAGATGGAAAAGAGATAATTTGCAAATATTCACTTTAAAAAAAAAAATTTTTAAGACAATTATTATTCCTTGAGATTGTTTCTTCACTAAAATTAAAAACAAACTGTGTAGATGTGGGCGTATAGAGTGGGGGTGGGGGTCGATCTAATTAACAAACTTTTGCAGAAGTCGGGGGGAAGGAGAGGGGAGGGAACGGCTTGTTTAAGGAGGGGTATTTAAACCTTTTAAAGAATTGGACATAAAAAACTCTTTTTTTTAAAAGAACATACTGAATTACAGTTAACAATTAAATAAAAACTATTTTTTCTGTTCATTCCTCTGAGTTCAGTCATAAAATCTCTGATGTATTTAGATTCTCGTACTTCAAGTAAACTTCTTCCATGGTCCCAAACCTTCTCTAGAACGCTAACTTTTAGATGGTAGAGTTCATGTCCAGGAAGGTTAAAATGTTCTCCTGTAGGCTGGTTTGTATGGAGATTTCTAATGTAACCAATACACACTGTCTATATTAGTTGAAATTCGGAATGACTACCCAAATGATCTGGAACTCTACTAAGTGGGCCCTGGAATATCTTTTATCAAAAAAAAATTTTAAAAATAAAAAATTACCAAAAAAAATAAATATTTTCGATTCAATATTTTTTAACATTAAGAAAAAAAAACGAAAACAAAATTTAAATGCTAATTCTATGAATTTATCCTACCCTTACTTTATCCTACATAAACCCTTAGTTCATCCTACACAAACCCTTAGTTCATCCTACACAAACCCTTAGTTTATCCTATACACACCCTTAATTTATCCTATACACACCCTTAATTCATCCTACACAAACCCTTAGTTTATCCTACACAAACCCTTAGTTTATCCTACACAGCCCCTTAGTTTATACTACACACACCCTTAGTTTATCCTATACACACCCTTAGTTTATCCTACATAAACCCCTAGTTTATCCTACACAAACCCCTAGTTTCTCCTACACAAACCCTTAGTTTATCCTACACAAACACTTAGTTTATCCTACACAAACCCTTAGTTTATCCTACACAAACCCTTAGTTTATCCTACACAGTTCCTTAGTTTATTCTACACACACCCTTAGTTTATCCTACGCAAACACTTAGTTTATCCTACACAGCCCCTTAGTTTTGTCCTACACAAACCCTTAGTTTATCCTACACAAACCCTTAGTTTAACCTACACAAACCCTTAGTTTATCCTACACAAACCCTTAGTTTATCCTACACAAACCCTTAGTTTATCCTACACAAACCCTTAGTTTATCCTACACAAACCCTTAGTTTATTCTACACACCCTAAGTTTATCCTACACAAACACTTAGTTTATCCTACACAGTCCCTTAGTTTATCTTACACAGCCCCTTAGTTTATCCTACACAAACACTTAGTTTATCCTACACAAACCCTAAGTTTATCCTACACAAACCCTTAGTTTATCCTACACAAACCCTTAGTTTATCCTACACAAACCCTGAGTTTATCCTACACAAACCCTTTGTCAAAGATTTACACGATCAGAATGCAAAGATATACCGTGTATCTCTGAAAAAAAGTGTATTTAAGCTTGTTTGCCCACTAAATTTTGTTTTATGGGGGGGGGGAACAAATAAATACAATTTTAAGCACAATAGAACAGCATTTTGTGGGCGAAAACTCAAATAGGAATACTTTTGAAGGTAAAACGGCATTATAGAGAAAAAAGTTTTATCGATTTATGGGCTTAAGACCAATTTGAATCACTATTAGTACAATAAAATGATGTTTAGTAGGCATAAAAGCTAAAATACATTCTTTCATAGAGACCCTGTAAGTAAACAGTTGCTTTATACTCGTTCAAATGTGAGAGAAAAACAAACATGCAATTCTTTCCATAAACTGAGAAGAAAGACTAAAATATTTTCACTTCACCAACTAAATGGTCTATACATGTCACTGAGCAGTATATAGACTAATGTTTTAGATATAAATAGAGAAAATTATAAATAAATAATCCTATACCCTGTGACCAGTGTGTCGGTATTTAAGAAGCCCGATGGGGGCGTGGGGGAACGTTGAGGGAGGAGGGTCTCAAAGAAGGGGAGGGTTGAAATTCCAGGGTCCTTGTATCAAATTTCCCATATGTTCACACCCAATGCTAATTATCTTTCCCATGAGTATCTATCTATCATAGAGAACAAATAGATCAATATTCTATTTTATCATTCTTTATGAAACCCTGTTTTCCAGATAAAAAGATGTATTAATCAAAAGACTAAGGGGGGGAAAATCTAACTTTTTTGCTTCACAAAGATTGCTTAGTTTTCCCGGGAACTAAAAGAAATGGGGATTTTTGCAATAAATTTACATAAAAATATACAAATGTACATATTTTTTTGTTAATTTGCATCTTTTTAAAAAAACTTTTAAGTTTGTAGGTGTTCATTTAGACGAAAATCTTAACTGGAACCATCATCTTAAGGCGGTTAAAAACAAAGCATCCAGTGCAGTTTTTGCTTTGTCAAGTGTAAAAAATATTCTTCCTAGTAATATTAAACTAACCATTTACAACTCATTATTTCGATCATTTATAGAATATGCAATTTCAGCCTGGGGATGTAACAAATGTTCAGAAATGAAACAAATTCACATTTTACAGAAACGAGCAATACGATTAATTGATAACTCAAAAGCCACGTCTCATAGTGATCCTCTTTTCCTTAAGTATAAGATTCTAAAGATTAATGATCTGGTAGACTTTAACCAAGCTATATTTATGTATAAATATACACATAAACTTCTTCCTGCATCTTTTGAAAATATTTTTAAAAAGCTTGGAAACTTTGAAAGATCTCTTAACTATCAACTTGACATTCTCAAAATGTGCTCATTACAGTATTTACCATCAAGCTCTCTTCTTAAGATGTGGAATAACCTGCCTCTTGACTTAAAAAGAAGCAACTCTCTAAGTATATTTAAAAATAGACTACTAAATTCTCTTTTTGAAAATTATAGGACAATGTGTTATAAACCGAATTGCTATTCATGTAAAACTAATTAGATATGTTTTAATATGCTTTGATATTTGTTGTGTACATGTCTGAAAATTACTTTAAACTCTAGTTATTCGAATTTATGTATAAACTATTTTGCATATGATAAATTCGCACCCTGATCTCTAATCGTTCTCCTTAAATCTATTTAATTGAAATATTTTGTTATTATTACTAACATTAGGTGGAAAAAATAATCAAAACAGCCAAGAGCTATTTTCCACCTAATTGCTTTATACTTGTACTGTTAATATAATCATCAATTTTGTGATTGTAAACTCTATCTGTATACAGATACATTTATTTTAGCAATAAACGTTATCTTATCTTATCTTATCTTATCTTTAACGTTATTTAGTTGTCAAGCTTTAAACATTCCATGTTTTTATAAATTGCACTGAAATATTTCATATTTATTTGATCCTCATATATCAAATTCTGTTTGTTCGTCCAAATTTCACCCGTAAATGGCAGTGTGAATATGTTCTCTCACTCTTTCATCTAAAGATCTTGTTGTCTGTCCTATACATCGTAGTTTACACTGATCACATGTAATACAGCAAACTACATTTCTGGTCTTACAGTTGAAAGTTCCTTTAATCTCAATCTTCTTGCTAGTATTAGAGGATTGTATAACTGTTCCAGGCTCTACCTAGGGACAAGTTGGGCAATTTAACCCCACAAGGTTTCATACCTCATTCTAGGAGTATCTGGAATTCTGCCTCGGATGAGTTTATCCCTGAGATTAGGAGGTCTCATATAGGTAACCATAGGTGGATTTTGAAAAACCTCCTTCATCCAAGGACCTGGACCATGGTTCTTCAATGTTTCTGTATGATGGAGGAGATACAAGGCAGCTGGGGATTAAATGAGACAGAGAATATAACTCAATCTGGTTTCTCCTTTTTTTTCACTTTTCTCTAGGTATAGCTTTAGCTCGGACTATAGCAGAGTCAACAATTGAAGAATTGTAATCCCTGTTGAGAAGAAAATCCCTTAGTTTTAAGAATTGTGCATCCCTAAGTTCTGGTTAGCTGCAAATTTGTACAATTCTGTATGCAAGTGAATAAGGTATGTTGTTAGAAATATGTGCTGGGTGGCAAGATTATGGAAGTAGGTACATACATCTATCTGTGGGTTTTCTGCTGAGATCTGATTTTTCCATCTTCAATGTTCAGTTTTGTGTCAAGGAATGGAATACTTTTTGTTCTGTGGCACCAACAGTCATGTTCATCCTTTAAACCACAACAAAATGGAGAACTATGTTCTAGAGTAAACTTGATTGTAGGATGAATTTTATTGATTTCAGCCAGGAATTGATATAATTTCTCAATAGAATTTGTCCAGATTCCAAAACAATCATCCAGAAATCTTTTCCAGGTTTTCAGGGAGCACTCATCAGTTATTTTGTATGTATTTGCAAGTTTCACAATTTGATCATCAAGCTTAGCCATAAAAATGTTTGCATTGGAAGGGGCTGGATGTATTCCCATTGCTGTTCCTATCAATTGATTGTACAGTTTACCACCAAATTCAAATATGTTATTTTTAAAACAAATGTTTAGCAGCTCATTCAAAAATGACGTCGGTACAGAATTATCAGTTCTGCTTTCAAGATCTTCTCTACAGAATTCTAGACCATCATCCTGAGGTATATTTGTAAGAATGAATGTTAACCTCAAGAGGTTAAAATATTTGGAGGTCAAAAACAATTTTAACTATCAGATAATAATGGACCGATTTTTGGATTCAGAAAACCAAAAAAAAGTATTTAATATATGATAAGGTCTCCTCTTCATCAATTTCTTATTTTTACCTTTGAAGTTCATATTAATCTTGAGGTCAAAGACTTTCAGAATTTCATTTGAGGCCAAAAAGGGGCGTCAGATTGGAAACAGAACAACATAAAAACTCCCGAGTTCATTAATATGTTGAGGTAACCAACCTTTAGAATCATCTGAGGTAAAAAAGGGGACTGAGGATTGAATCAGAACATGAAAACCTGCAATTTGATACCAAACATGAACCATTTTCATTGGTTTTATAGTTTGATCTCTTTAGAGGCCATCATTGAAAGGGGGTTAAAATGGAGGTCAGACTCAAACATATGTGTTTCTGTTAGCACATGACTTATGTGGTTGCTAAAAATATGAAAACATGTCTGATTACACTAAAATAATAGGGCAAGAATGAAACATTTGCTATTTTCCCTTATTTTTTTTGCGTTTTTTGAGGTCAAAATGGAGGTTAATAACCTTCGATTCCAAATTGTCTTTATAATATTTTTAGATTACAACAATTGGAGGCTGCATGCAAAATTTCAGTCTTCTACCATAATTTTTAAGACAAAGTACTCTGAAAAAGTTGCGAAAAAAAGAGAAAAATAACAAAAATACAGGGCGTTCCTGGAAAATCAGGCTTTTAATTAACTTATTGTTGGAATTTCAATGAGATTTTTTAATATGTTTTTCATATCAATACAATGAAGATATTTTGAGATTTATTCAAAAATCAAGAGCGTAATGTAAAATTTTTTTGACTGTTTTTCAAAAAATGACACCGTATATATCATATTTTAAAAAAAACCGAATTACAATAGTTGCCAAAATATAAAAAGACAATTGTCATATATTTCTAAATTAATAACAAGGATTGCTATAGTTCCAAAACTTACCATGATATAACTGTCTCTTTGTACAGGTTAAAATTCATGAATTTTACAAATTTCAAAACATGAAATAAAGATTTTTTCAAATGGGCAAAAAAACCTATAAAGTGGTCAAAAATGGAAAATATTGCAATTCTTTAATTACTATACCCTCAGAAAGGTATCCTTAAATTATGAGCAAAATAAGAGACACAAAGTGCGGTAATTAGGCATGGAATGATCTAAAAGTAAAAAGTTAAAACCTTAGATGCTCCTAGAATCTGCAGCAGTTCAAGCCATTCAACTAGAAAATATTAAGAACAGTTAAAAAAACAAATACATGCCAAATTTTTATTTTTAATCAAAAATTCTTGTATTCAAATACATTTTACTTTGCAATTAATTTTAATACAATATCATTATTCATCAACTGGCTGTTTTACGGGATACCCTGTAAATAAATTTAAAAAGCCCGAGAAGAGGAGGGGTTGTAAAAATGTAAAAATTGTTTAAATGTTATAATATATCCTGGGGACCCCCCCCCCAAAAAAAAAAAAAAAACCATCCTAACATCCTGAGAGGGGCAGTACATACTTATTATTCTTCACAATTCTTGAATATTCCCCTTTTCTAAATTTTTAAACAGAATTCCGTTTCACTGAATTACCCTATAATTGCGAACAAGGAAGCAATTAAATATACACAGAATTGCACTGAATTGCGTGCAATGAAATTGCTTTTCAAATATCAATAATTGTTAATTCGACTTACATAATTTTTATGCAGCAGATACAAGAATGAAAATAAATATCTTTGTAGATGTTAAAATAATCAATTCCAAGGGTCACAATTGTTTCAAAAGTTCGCAAAGTAAAGTTTCTTGTGATTAAACAACTAATTAACAATTTAATATCTGTTATTATGAAATAAAATATAAAGTTTAAATTCAGTTTTTCTAGCATTTGAGACTGAAATATTTGTGAAGTTCCATTAATTGTATGCCACTACCAATGTTAATAGAATTGTTTTGTTGTTGAACTGAACTGCACAATTAATCATTTGCATTTATTGAATATTATTAAACGTAAAAAAGTTAGACAAAATTGCTAACTTTAGCGCGCAATTGCACGCAATTCCATTGCATTTGATGTCCACAATTAAATTGACTTGCGCAAAAAGGTTTGCAGTTATGCCCATGTAAAATCCACTTGTATTGGCAAGTCTATATTTAACCCTTTAGAAAAGAGGGAAAAACCATGGTAGGGCCTAATATATTGGAAAATTAGGAAGGATTTTTATACTTAGATTCTAATTAATTTGAATTCACCTAATCTAAAAGATATGTCATCCTTCAATGTCATTGCTTTAAAGCAAACACCAAATGTATCTTTTGATCCATCAGGCTTGTTGTAAATTATCCTGAAATATAATATGTTCATTTCATATCAGTAGAGCTGTTTTATAACCCTTCAGTAATGAAAATATAAAACTGTTCCATAGTTTTAGGTAGCCATTCGTTTTAAGCTAGAAATGGGACATTCATTTTATTAGCGGAATTTTCCGATTTTTTTAAAGCTACTGTTAGTTAACAATCTCCATATTAACTTAATAACTTAACAGGAGTGACAGGCAATGTATGGTAGTTGAGCTGAGAATGTAGTATTATTGTGGAGACATTTTGAGTGCAAAGTGGATGTTCAAAATCATCAATTTGGGTGGTTACTTTTTGAAAATTAATTTTTAAAATTTTTTTTTAATAAATAACAACTACAATAAATGTTGTAAAATTCTACTTTAAACTAATTAGTTGTTTAGAAACAGGTTGAGAAAATAAAAATTAGCTTTTATCATCGTAAATAAGTATTTGTGTTCAGTTATGTGTTTCTGTAATGTCTCATCGTTCACAAACATTTTCTGTAGATGAAATTTTTATTCAAAAGATGACATTAGAAGAATGCGAAGAAATCTGCAGACAAATTCGTGAAGAATAAGAAATTCAATATAATGATGGAAAGAAATATTTAATTCTAACATTGATTTATTGAGAAAATTTCAATTTTAAATGTTCCTAAACATCTCGTTAGGTTACAAATACATTAGAACTTGTTTTACTTTTTATGTCGTCGTAATTAAAAAAAAAAAAAATGATTCTTAAAATATTACTACCCAAATGGATGATATTAAACATCAACTTTGCGCTTCAGCTCAGTTATTATACATCATTTAAACATTTCAAATGAATTCTAAAATAACTCTACAATAATACATTCTCAGTTCAACTACCAAACATTGCCGATCACTCACTTTAATAGTGGCAGCCATAAACAAGCCTTTAAAGATTATTTTATGTAAATAGCTGTAAAACAATTGAAGAAAACATTAAAAACACCAAAATATGTAAAGTAAATCTAACATTCTATAATTCGACAAATAAGCGAGAAGACAGCATCCCCCTAGAAAAAGACCTTAGAGAATAGGTATAGGGTTGAAAATTGAAATGCATGTTCATAGCACCATGTTTAAGGCCACCTCATGGAATAAAAAATTAGATCGATAACTGTGATTGTTTGGGTACTAGGAAGGGTTAAAAAAATGCCAAAAGATGGTCAAAAAAGTTTTAACAAATTTTTTATAAAACAAATATCAAAGTGTGACACATGTTTCTGCATCAATTTTTCAAGGGCTTTCCAAAATATAATTTTTAGATCTGTAGCTCTATTTATAAAAAAGTTTTTTTACACAAAGTGGAGTTTTACTGCCATGTAGTATGTACCCCACCCTATGAATCAAAAAAAATTTAACAAAAAATCCTTTAAATTTCTTTTTATTCAAAGTCAGAAAACTTCACTGACTGTCTTGGGTTAAAAAAATCAAAATACTCAAAACAATTTTTATTTTTCTGTAAGTTTTATGCAATTTTAAACAGAAATTCACTATTTTAAAAAAAAACATGTTTTTTGTTTACGTTTTCGAAAACGGTTATTTCTTTTTGTTAACAATTTAAAAGCTAATTGTTTTAGCTGTTCATTAAAGTGATCAATTACTGCCTTAGTATAAACTCCATGTTTTTACTGTTGTATATACGAAAGAGGAGATCAAACTAACTAAGTCAAATATTTGAACCAGTAATTAGCCTTTATTAATTAGCCATAATTATTGCAAAATTATGCGAAATTACTTTGTAGAAATTATGGCATAATAATGCGAAATTGAAGTTTTGCTAATTAAGCATGGTTATTACAAAATTTCGCGAAGTTAACTTGCAGACATTAGGCAGAATTACAGCGTAATTTTGCGAAATTGAAGCTAATAATGCAAACTGTAGAAATTATGCAAAATTACGCCATATTTTAGCGAAATTGAAGTTTCGCTATTTCCACGTAATCATTAAAAATTTTTGCAAAATTAATTCTTTAGAAATAACGCCATAATTTTATGAAATTGAAGTTTCATTGTATACTGATAAAAACTGCACACAATTTTGCGTAAGTGAATTATCTGTTACATTGGAAACAATACTTTTGAATAAGATTTTAAACACCTTTATGGTTGGTTTATTCATTACTATTTTAGAAAATGTTATGAATTTTTTGTAATATGTTTAAATCATACAACTTTTTTACCAACCATATTTTCTTTCCTGTTTAAAATAGTTTTTTACTACTTTTTGTGTGATTAAAATGCATGAACGAATGTGTTTCAAATGAACAGTGGCTTTCTTTAATTCTTAAATGTTGACTTATTTCCAACATTTAGTTGACTTTACATGGCCTTAGGGCTGGGCACGTTCCGACTTTTTTGAAATTGTTCCGTTCCGTTCTAGAACGAGGGCCTTCAGCTAAATCGTTCCGTTCTCGTTCCTCTTTTTTTTATCGTTCCGTTCTCGTTCCGTTCCGTTCTGAGTAGAAGAACGGTCTCCCGTTCCGTTCCGTTCTTGGCGTTCTTAGTTGAAGAACGGTTGCATCATCTTTAACTATTTCTAGATGATTTAGAACACATGTTCCTGATTTAAAATGCGTTCCCAACTTAGAACAAGTTCTTGATAATAAGAACGCGTTAACGATTTTAACCGTTCTTTTCAAGCAAAAGTCAGAATTATTGAAGAATTCAATTTTTTATAATTTTGTATTAAGATAAGCTGAACTGCCTTAAATCTTTTCTGATAATGGTGCTAGAAAAGACAGGAAAACCAATTTTTGATTTATTTATTAACTATGGAAACTCCAACATTGGATTTTTACAGATTTAAGCCCTTTAAGGCTGCACAATCATGATTTATTTGCAAATTTGATTAATCCAAAAAATTGTGTAATAATTGGATTGTGTCAAATTTCTGTAAATATATTAAAAGATTCATCCTAGTTCAACACATTTTATTTGAAATTATCTACAATTTGTGCGTATTTGTTTGAATTGTTTACAAGAAAAAAGGTTTCAAAGCTTTTTGACAAATGACGTTTATGACAATGTAAGTTAAGAATGTCGATTGTAAATTTTATTTCAGCTGTGCAAGAGTTTTTGGGTTGTCTTCAATTTTACAGTGGAATTAGGTCTAACTTACTCCCTGTGAGTGTACACACATCATTAAAAATGTTACTTTTAACTAAGACTTATTACTTGAGTTTATTGGATGGTTCATCTGTTTTTTCCTCGACCAGTGAAACTGAAATTGGCTGCCTTGTCTCGTTCTAAATATGGTAAACAGTGAACAATGTGCATACATCTAAAATTATGTGAAAAAAAGAATAAGTTAAAACTTGTTCAATTTGTCCTGAATATGGTCTCACCTTAAGTAGAGTACATGAAATTAGATAGGGTTGGTAAATAGTTCTTGCTTTAGGAGTGTTATATAGTCTTCCAAAGAAATACTCATCAATCCGTAAGTAGCGAGCCTAAAAATATTCAAATTCTTTAGCAAGAATAATGGTCATTTAAATAGCAGAGCACTTTCAAAATGTTTCCCCACTAAAGGTTTCCTTGACAAAATGTCAGAATGTTTCCTAACAACACATTTCAACCACAAAATGTTTCCTGTTTACTCAACAAAATGTTTTCCTTACAAAACGTTCCCTCTATCATTTTTATCCTGTTTCAAAACATTTCCACACATATAACATTTCTACCATAAAACATTTCATGCTACTAAACTGGTAATGTAATTTTTCAAACATTTCCATTAAAAACTGTCAAATTGATTGTGAAGAAATTTGTGTGTACACTTAACAGCTAGAACCGGTTTTGGTATTTAACTCCCTAAAATTAGTACACATGTTACATATAATTAAGTAAGAATAACTTTACAATGATAAAAGTAAACGAAAAGGTGCACAATGCCACAAACTTAATAAATGCAAAATATCATTCTATTTTGATATTTATATTTCTTACGTGTGTAGGTATAATACTTACAGTGTAGGTCACTTTTAAAGGGGACACAGTTAAAAATCGTATTTTGGAGTAAAACTGCTTATTAAAAAAGAGAATTAAGAAATTGGTGGACTTCATTTTCTTGACAAAAATATCATTGAAATAATAAAAACATTGTGTGTTCAGTTATCCTTCTTAGGAGTTTAAAATTCCACTGGAGGGATTCAAATATCCTTCCTAGGGGTTAATAATTCCACTGGAGGGATACAGTTATCCTTCCAAGGGGGTTTATAATTCCACTGGAGGAATTCAGATATTCTTCCTAGGGGTTTATAACTCCACTGGAGGGATTCAGATATCCTTACAAGGAGTTTTTAAATCCACTGGAGGGATTCATATATCCTTCCTGGGGGATTATAATTCTACTGGAGGGATTCAGATATCCTTCCTGGGGGGCTATAATTCCACTGGAGGGATTCAGTTATCCTTCCAAGGGGTTTATAACTCCACTGGAGGGATTCAGATATCCTTACAAGGAGTTTTAAAATCCACTGGAGGGATTCAGATATCCTTCCTGGGGGTTTATAATTCCACTGGAGGGATTCAGATGTCCTTCCTGGGGGGTTATGATTCCACTGGAGGGATTCATTTATCCTTCCTAGGGGTTTATAATTCCACTGGAGGGATTCAGATATCCTTCCTGGGGGTTTATAATTCCACCGGAGGGATTCAGTTATCCTTCCAAGGGGTTTATAATTCCACTGGAGGGA